TAATATGTAAAATATCAAACTTATTGAAATTCATCCTTTTTGCCGATGACACAAATATCTTATGTGCAGGTGACAATCTGAAGCAGCTCTTGGCCACTGTAACTGTTGAAATGAACAAACTAAAGACCTGGTTTAATATAAACAAATTGTCACTAAATTTAAAAAAGACAAAGCTTATGCTTTTTAGCAATCGCAGATGTAATATCCCTGTCCAGATTATCATTGATGACACACAAATAGGTAAAGTTGTAATAGATGATAAAATATCCTGGAAACCTCACATAACTTTCATCAGGTCAAAAGTTGCTAAATGTGTTGGAATGATGAAGAGAGCAAGTCATTTACTCAACACCAATGCTCTTCTATAATTGTATCGTTCTTTCATCATGTCATATCTAAATTACTGTGTTGAAGTGTGGGGAAACTGCTACAAATCCCACTTACAGCCTCTGATGACTCTGCAGAAAAAGGCCATAAGGATTGTCTCTAATGTTCACTACAAACATCACACTCATCCACTGTTCATAGAGTTAGAAGAACTTAAATTACAAGATTTGATTCACTTTAAAACTGCTCAAATTATGTTCAGGGCATCGGAAAACTCTCTGCCTCCAAATGTTCAGAACTTATTTCGTGACAGAGACGCGCATCATAGTTACAGACTAAGAGTAAATAAAAATGTTTACTTGCCTAAATTTAGGACTACTTTAAAGTCGATGTGTGTCTCAGTGCGAGGAGTTACGCTGTGGAACACCTTAATGGATGAACAAAAAAAATTTACAAATCTGTTTAAATTTAAAGGTTTGTTTAAAAAATATGTGCTAAAGAAATACAAGGAGGAAAGAGAGAGATGCCCTCAGCACAGAGCGAGTGATGGCAGAGAGGGGTGGGGTCAGAGTGTTTGGGCCTGTGTGTGTGTGTGTGTGTGTGTGTGTGTATGCGCATGTGTTTTGTTGTTTTTGCTGATGTTTTATTTAATTTTTTCTTTGTATACCATTGGTGGTAGTATTGTATAGATGGTAGTATTTTCTAATTTCTACTGGATTATTTTGACTTGTGTTGTGTGGGTGAGAGGGTTGGGCTAAAATAAGCATAATGATTCATCCAACCCCTTTTCAAACCTTGAACATATGTCTGAACATTTGTAAATTGTGTTTCTTGTGCAGGTTTGAAATAAATAATTCAAATAAATTTGACCTTAACCAGAAAAAAGAACCCACTGAGATAGAAAAGAGTGACCTGGTCAAGTGGAAGCAGGACTATTTGCAATTTCCGAACATCTGATTTATGAAATTCAGAGTAATAAAATATGAGCAAAGATACTTCACAATATTCATGAAGGGTTTGTAAAATATTGTATGTGTGTTTAAAAAAATAAGTTAAATGACCCTGTATATTCTTCATAAACTCGTTGTCAAATGCAGAGGATGAATTGCCCTACGGGGATCAATAAAGTGCACCTTTACCTTTGCCTTTACCTTCTCCCTGTTCTCTATTTGAACAGTATTTTGCAACCATCTGTCTGGGCGTCTGTGCAAATATGAGTAATAAAATGCTGTTGTCTCTCTGATAAACCACTACATGTATTGTCAGCTGTTTTACGATTAATACGCCTCTTGTTCAATTCAGCCACAACCTCATCAGTATTCTGTAGATGTACGAGCCTGTGAGAACAATCTCCTGGTTGTGCATAATGATACACGTGTGGAAAGATCAAAACCACAGGAGTAATCCTCCAGCAGAGTGTACAGGTGCACTGTATGTCTGGGGTCCAAAACATTCTACATGCAGAATATATTCAGTACATTTGAGATGTTAATATTGATCTAAAGGATGTCATAGGAGAGTCTTTTCTTCTGCAGTCCTGCCACATGACTTTGTGCTCTGCCCCTTCAGTGAAGCGTGGTCACATCAAGAACCCTGCTCAAGTTGCGATGCAAATACGCTAATTTCCTTATATCAAATTTACTTTATGGTAATCATCTGCATATGACAGAAAAGAAAATAAGAGAGCAAATATGAATAATAAATGTACCAAACTATATAAACATTATAGTTCTGTAAAGCGACTCTTTTGCACTCTCTTTGTCTCTGTTTGTGTGCATTATATACGACGTATTCTAATCATATAACCGCTAGTAAAACACGTCAGTTACCTAAACCTACCACGGTCTTACAACAGCCTCAGTCCTGCTCCCTCGGCACGGTGTCATTTGCAACTGTATTCAGAGTGTATGCACGGCTTTTAACAGCTGCAGCAGCGCTCAGACCTACAATATGTTTGATATCCCCCATCACACTTCAGCAGTAGTGAGTTCCGGTGGTTGGACGTGAAGTGTCTAAAGTGTCTATTGAGGGTTTTACCTCCTTAAAACACATAGTGGCTGCTTGGCAGATTCTGCTTAGTGCAGTTTTCTTTTTAGAACGTAACCCCCTCGTCTACTAACCTGCCTTTTACAACTCACTCTCATTTTCAATCCAACAAACCATGTACACAGAGTATCCTCTCATCTAATCCCACATTATAATCTCACTGTGAAGACTTCACTTCCGGGGAATTGAGAATCCACATCTTTACATTTCTGTGCTCATGTTCCTGCCTGGAGCTCACCCAAAAATATCCAGCTCAATCATTTAATTTCCTTATTAATATTGTTGTCCATTTTAACATTTGTTGACTGGAGATGGCAGACAACTCATTGAAACGTGTGTAGGGAGTGACACCGCTGCGTTTTTCTAATTAAAAGTTGCAGCTGCAGCTTAAGTGACTTTGACTCAGAACTTAGACTCATTCACAGAGGACTTAAACTCAGACTTGAACACAAAGCATCTGGTGCCATATGCTCATTTCCTCAGTTGCAAACAGAACTCACATTGGAATAAACTATTTAAGAAACAATACAAATGAAAAGGTCACACATTTAGTATGAAAGGATTTCGAGAAGCTCTGTGCCGATTGAATTAAAGAACCGCTAATAACTACAAAGCCCTTTTGATTGTTCTGGCATACAGGACAAAAGTTGTAATTAGTTAAATGTCAAACTGTGCGTTTTTATTCTCAGTTCAGAACCTGAACTTTTTGGCACAAGATCCAGTTGTGCCTGCTTTTGATAAAACAATATATATATTCAAGGTTATGGAGGTTTTTTTCCCAGACCCCCCACTAAGATAATCATAGCTGGCAACAATTTATGCAAAACAAATAAAAAACTAATCTTTGATCCATTCACACATATCACAATGAAATCACAGTTTAATGTTAAAATGAGCAAATTATCATGGTGATTATCACAGTGTGTTTAATGGGATTTTGAACACTGTCTAACACAGATCGTAGCTACACAAAGAACTATTATTGAGATACATACAGTCAAGTAAAAATAACAACACTTGTAGTAACAACAATATAGATAATATATTTAATTTTGACTTGATATGCCATAAAACATATCTATTATAGCTTAACATGTGCAATTTGATAACTTTTTTAGAATTGTGTATTTATTGATGTTTTTATGGATGCATGTGTTACTACTGCTACTTTATCTGTCTCTCTCTCTATCTAAACAAATCCAGGTATGACATCAAATCCATCCATCCATCTTCTTCCCCTTAATCCATTTCTGGGTCACAGAGCACCAGCCTCTCCTGCAGGTGGTGAGTCCACAGGAGGACGGCTGCTCTGTCTGTGAGAGCATAGCCTTGATCTTTCAGCTGGGGCTTCAAGCATAGTGGGGTGTCTTGCCCAAGGACACTACGGCAGCAGACATCAGACTCAAAGGCCAAATCTCTACCAACTGAGCCTCTGTCGCCCTGAGCCATAGTCAAATAAATAACTCACCAATATGTTATACATGCTTAAAAATAACCTGCCAGTGTCATTTTGTCAAAATACAAATCCTAAATACTAAAAAACAAATCAAAGGATAACAGGGATTTGCATCAGCTGCGTATTCAAGCCGTCATGTACAAACGGAAGGTGCCCTGACATATGTTTAGGATATAATGGAAATTGCACTTTCAAATAAAAAGTAGCATAAGCCCTGGCAGACTGATAATTAAAATAACTATGGTGAATCACATACATGAGCAGGGCAGATGGGATTAAATGACTGAATAGAGCATGAAATATTTAGTGGCACCCCCGGAGACGTCAGCCTTGCTTGAATGTTAACGTGAGCGCCATTTCCCACCGCAGAAAATGGGACAGTTTCAAAGTGCTTCATACACTTTCAAGACGAAGTGATGTGAAAGATTGAAACTTGTGCCATATGGTTCTTATGTGTGAACGGCTCCCATGATGCTTCCTACAAACAACAGCCGCACTTTGCATGAAAAACAAAGTTGAGAAGAGGGTTCAGGGAGGGACATAAAAGTAATTTATGTTCTGCTACAAAGCCTCGTTCTATCATTCTTCACTTGTATTCAGTGTCAAGTCTTTTGCCAGTCTTTTGCTGTTCCCAGGCTCATACTATAGACTTTATTATGAAGAGGATGGATATACCTGTGACCAAGATTTATTACAAGTTTCATTGATAAAAAATACTCCACAAATGCAGTTACTATTATGAAGAATGTCTGTGACAGCAACAAGGGAGAGGAGCTTATGACTTTCCTTTCACAATTAATAATGTCTTTTGTTTATATTTAGCGCCAGTCTTCTTATCTTCGCGCCACTGTCCAATCCAGCATCTGTTTCTATTAAAATTGCTGTTTGAAATCTAATCTAGCCAGATCTCATAAACGACCTACGGGGTGCGAATGAGCCGACAGCAGCATAAAAGAACACAATGCTACAAAAAAAAAAAAAAGCCTGCTGCTCGACAAAGGGAATGACAAATCAAACATTGCAGTATCTTGAGAAATAGGCATTTTCTGTGTCACATGTATTATTATGTTACATGTCACATAATTCCAAAAACTTTTAAAATTAAACTTTCGAGATGCCAGACTATCCTGAAGGCACGAGTGTAATAATAACAGCATGTGTATTCTGGCACCTGTTCTTGTTGCTGGAAATCCAGTCGGAGATGTAAGCCACGGCCTGGCGATGACACTGCTTGTTCCCAAAGCTGCACGCTAACATGATGAGCTCCCGCTGTAGCTCCCTGTAGGAGTTCAAGGGCATCAAGTGAAACAGTGATCAATAAAACCCATAGGATGGAGTCAAATAAGGAGACAAAAGGACGTTTTGGGCAAGGAAAAAAAAACATACAAGTTAATACATTTATAGAAAATAAAAGTAAAAATTTAATCTTAAACATTCTGTTTAAGGCTTAGTTCATCTAATAAGACTAATATGTCTCACACATAGGAGACCGTAGTGAGGGTCATTCTGATGGATCTGTCAGACTGGCCGCTTTCGTTATCAGCAGATGATAAGAGACAGGTCACACCATTGAGTGTTACCTCTGACAAAGGCGGAAGTCTACCTCCAAAACATGTCAGGTAATTAGGCAGCACTGGCCTAATTCTGTTCGAACATTTATTGACACTTATGGACATCGGTCACCTGTCCTTTTTGGACCAATACCAATTGGTCCAAAAGGGACAGGTGTGTTTTTTATTTTATTTCTTGTTTTTGAACTGTTTGATTCTCTGGTCTGTGTTGACCAATTTAACGAGTGTGTAAAGTCTGAGATAACTACTGTTGTGATTTAGGGCTATACAAGAACACATTTAATTAAATTGAATAGCATTTTTACAGTCCTTTTTAAAGAACCTTCAAAGCCTTAAACAGATTCATGGACTTGTTGATGTTAAATAACCACGCATCTGTGTGGATTTTATGGATTTATGGTAAAAAAGTAAAAGTACAAACAAGGTAAAAGTCACAACAGTATTATCTGAGCTGGGTAGGTGCATACTCAGTCTGGTAGGATGACTGGAGGATATTGCCCTCGTTGCCAGGTCCTGGACTGGGCCACCCCATCTGATGATAACGGGATGCCACTTGCTTCAGCACATAATCCTGCCGACACACACACACTCATCACAACGGGGACACATAATGACTAAACTCAACATGGGCCTGTCAGTGAGTGTGGTCTCATTTACACTGAAGAGGCTGTACTCGTCTGTGCGGTCCAACAACTTGTCCAGCTGGTATAGCACCCGGCTGGCAGCGTGCCACGGTAAGAAGGACGGCTCCTCCGGCAGGTAGCCAATCAGCTGAAGAGGTATGTTCTGAGGGAGATACCCTGCCCTGTAAGACAGAAAGTAATAATCACTCTTTTATAATGAGACTCTTTTAATCAGTTCAATATTGAGTGTGTTGAGGTCCCAACCAACCACCAAATGAAATAGTCTTCATTCATATAATGTTTTCACCCAACTCATTTTCAATACTGTATGTTATTCTGTTATGTTGAGTCTGAATGCTTCTCCTATGGGATTGATTGTGAACTCCCTAAATGCTGCAGCCCCTTTTCTTTTATCATCTGAAACCTACACAGACTGGGGGAGAACATCGACACTCCAACACTCCAGGCCCCAGGAGACAAACCCAGGATCTTCTTTCTAAGAGCCATTGTGCCTCCACTTTAAATAAAGCCAAACTTAGTGTCTAGACACTTACGCTGTGTATATTTAGGGATCAACGAGCTGAATGAGCATATTAAGGTAAATGTGGTCTCTAAGTATCAGCATGCCACCCCACAGAGAAGGTTAGATCCACCTGCTCATGAATATTAAACCATCCCTTTGTGCATTCGTTAGTATTCATGATGTTTTGGCGAACGTTGTTGCTGCCTCATCTGACCTTCAACTCCGCCCACTCATCATGAATATTAACAAGGTGGGCAGCTGAGGACGGATGTCAGCTCATACGAATATATTTTCAATGTTTATTGGCTGTCATTATAGTTTAGGATTGGTAGGCTTTGTGCAGAGTGAGTGATGAGAAAATGATGTGAAGTGATCTATGCCACAGTGACACACAGCGAGAGCAGCAGACAACAGCTGTCCCTCAGACGAACGCTCCGTGAAGGCCTCGGAGTGAGAAAGGTCTTATTTAGTGCTTATTTTCTTTTCACGGCCTAAGAGCAGGAGCCTACTTCTAAAAATGCGCCTGTTTCAGATAAGTCCCTTCGCAGTTCAGGAACCCCGGATTTCCATAATCTGCCCCATGCACAGCTCAACCAACCTCCACACATTCATCTTTATTCCCATCATGCACCTGGCCTATGAGACATTACCATAATCCATCCAGCCTGCAGAGACTTCCTGTTTACAACGCTCTGAGCGCCTCACAGGCCTGTGCACCGTGCACCAAACAGTGAGATCCAAAGACAGTGTTGCTGTAGCAACCTGATCCATTCATGTCCTTTTTTGTTTTGCGCTTGTCCACTCATCTATCGTGTGTCTGCTCCTGCAGATGGGAGCTGTCACATCACTATGGTCTCATCAGTCACTGTCATAGAGCCTGCAGTCACAATAAAAACACGTCTTTTTGCTGTCAGTCCAAAACTGACAACTTTCTACAAGTTTGCTACAGCTTTGCTGGTTTGATGCTGACTCTATGTGGAACACTGGACCAAGTGTGTGCAAAGTCAGCATGTACCAGGCCATTATAGATTATTTAACTTCCTTCCAGTGTCTGTGGCAGTGTGTCCTAGTGTGAGCTGCGTCTTAACAAGCTCATTAACTCTTTAACATTGTTAAGGCTCTGTTAATTGTTTGTCCATTAGCCATTAGCAAGGCTCACTGGAGAGCTAACGAGTGACTTCAGCAGCTGCAGAAGGGCTGCATCCATCACTATTACCCTGCACACTCTTTTATTTACATTTGGGTCCTGTGACTGATAACCATTTATTTGTATTTGTCTATAGACAGGTACGGAGTGTTTCAGTCTCTCCTTTTTAACACAGCAACACACAAACAGAAGCACAATAATAATACACAAATACCAAACGCTTTAAAGTTAAAAAGTTTAAAGTGGCACGGTTGAGGATAATTTTCCGTTTGAGAGTTTGAAAATAATTCAATGTTTGAGATGCAGATTATTCAAAAACTTCTTCTTAGTTCAGTTCTTGCAAAGTTTTGAAAGCGAACGTTCATTATGAATACATTTACAATTTTTAATGTCGAGATTTATTTGCATATTGCAGTTTATTTGAGAGGAGCATGTACTTTGTTTAATTCCATTCAGCAATAATTTATAACTTCAAATATCACTACAATCCCCCTGGAAGAGGATTGCTCACATGTAAACTAATCAAACTCTAATAATTATATTAGGGTAATAATTATTTTCCATTTTTGGTTTTTATGTGTTTTAGCATTTTTTTCCTGTGAATTCCAGTCCTGTATGAATTGTGCTGTATACAAAAACTTGTATTGATTAAATTAGAGAAAAACTAAAAAGCAAGTACAATAGGCAATGCTATTTATTATCTCCAAGTTGGGCAGCCTCAGCAATAGACACTTAGCTCTATCTTCAGCCCAAACAAATACATATACAATATACATACAATATAGAATAGACTCACTCATATCAGTTTTGATGGATAGTTCGTAACAATCACATGAAACACCTGCTGCTCGAGTTCAAATTGAGCGCCTTTATAGATGAATGAGCATTAATCCAAATTAGCCCTGGCTCTAATTACTGTAATAAAGCTGCGTTCTCCAGCGAGAAGGAACAAAACAAGGCGAAAAGAGTTTGTGTTGCCATGGCGACAGAGTGTGCCCATGTGCCCTCAGCGATAATGAGGGATCCGTGGTTTTGCGGATGGAAGTCTCCCGCTGAGCTTTTAACTCAGACGCACACACTTTTACTGACAACATATTTGTCTCATTCAACATGACGGAGAACGGACGGCTGCAGACGAGACGCACACAGGCCTCTTCCCCAGCTTGAGTTATGGAGTCCATGTCACAGTAGATTTTGGTTACCGCGCTCAAAAAACCTCCGGGCCGTAAACATCACATATGAGGGATGAGCTGTGCCCGGGACCTCTTTGCTTTCTCTGCGGCGGAGCACTCACTTATTGCACATTCATCAGGCTGTTCGCACCGAGAGGCTGCAGCAGAGGGGTTGTGAGTATTAAAAACCTGATCTGCCGACTTTATACAAAAAGCTGAAGTCTAATGTCTTAATTCTTTCTCTGGGACCTTACGTGCAGGAAAGGCATTTATACATAAAAAAAAAGTCTTTCAGCAGAAAATTAGAAACACAGAGGCTAAAATTTCACAACAATGTACAAGGTTTTAGAAATAGGAGATGAGGCTTTGAACTACAAAGCAATATGTGTAGTTATAACCCACCTACTAGGTCATTAAAATGGTAAATTATCACATTTATACAGGGCACTCAAGGAACCAATCACCCATTCACATGTCAGGTTTATAATATGAATAAGCTAGAGCCCTCTGAGTCATGATTGATGCTGAGGGCCAAAAATTCATGCAGGTAAAAAACTAATGATAGATCTAAACTGTTGAGAGCAAGGAACTAGTTACCGAAGATAAATAATAGAACTAATACAATCTAAAAACTTACAGGTAGAGCAAACATTATTATTTTCAGTCCTCAGATAAAATACATCATCAACTCTATACATTTTTGGGCAAAAAAACTAAGAAAACTTTTCGGGCCTTGTTCCTGGTCTGCGATTAATCATGGTTACAAATACAAGGACAAGCAATACATTTTATTAAAGGCTCTTTTCTAATTCGCAATCCAATAACGCATGGATATTTTTCATTCTCAAGCAAGATTAAGGACCATTCATTTGAGAAAAGCAGAAAGCCCTAATAACATTTAGTCTATAATCAACCATGGATGCAGCATACCAGAAAGCAATCAGATGGTGCAAACACAAAGTCAGCCTGTCGATTCTTGTAACGAGGCCTGGTCTATTACAGTCAATGTAAGTGGCTTCAAATACAAACTGGATATTTTCCTAATCATGTCTTTCCTAATCCGTTTGTATTTTGTGTTGTACAACATGTCTAAATTGTTTTTTTAATCTACACTTCTGCGCAGTGTTTTTAAAGTTTTGCATTCTTTCCATTGATCAAATCCTGACAGAATGCACTGAAATGACAAGCTTGGACTGCATTGGAAATCATTAATGAAGTGAAGAGAACAGACGGAAACAGTGGTCAGATCTGGATAAGCAGAGTGGTTTACAGGCTGAAGTATAGACAGAAGTGCTGACTGGGGACCATCTGTACAAACATCAAATGAACAAGGTGTTAAAGATGATGCTAGTTTGATTGACCTCACCTGGCCAGATTGAAAGCATCATCGATTAGACCTGCCCTGTTTCCAACGGAGATGACCTGAAGAGAATGCCGACAGGACATGTTATTATCCACGGGACACGCACAGCTACAAGAACATGAGCACGTGCAGAAAGAGGCAGCAGCTCACCTGAGGATTGGAGTGTAGCTGTTGGATGAGCAGCTTCCAGTTTTGAAGATCATAGTTCACTCTGAAGTAACCTGTCTGATTGATGTTACCGAGCAGCCATGTGTTCTCGTGAATCTCACCAACTCTGTGCGTTTCTACAAAGAGAAAAATTAAATAAATAAAGTATGACATTTTAAAAAGTGCGTGTAAATTTGGTCACGTCTTTAGATCGGCTTTTCTAGTGAAAACGAGAGAACCAGTCAATCCGCTCTCACCATGGAAAAGATCAAATGTTTTACAATAAAACATAGACAGCATATTGTGGTCTGAATGAACAAAAATGACTTGAATGAGACATCTTCTGTTGGGACAAACATAATACATTTAAACAAAAGAGTCTACTTATAGAAGGAAAAATTATACTATTGGGAAACAGGAATGCTTCTGACAATGCCTATATTGTCACAATTAGTTAATTCTATCTAATGAGTGGTTGCAATATTTCCCCACTGTGGGACAAATAAAGGATCTCTTAATCTTAATAACCGTTTTATCTTTGGTGGTTAAGAATACAGTTACTTGTAAAGGCAAACTCAGGCCTCTTCCATAAAGATAATGGAAGACATTAGCTGAGTTTATTGAACGAGTGAAAGTAGCCTCTGTTATGGCCTCTTATGGCCTCTGTTATCTGCAGGAGAAGAGCTTCTGTAAATGAGAGCATGTGATGTACCCTAGTTTAACACCTGCACATTGTGTTCATTGAGACCAACATCACTATCCCGCACAGAAGCTCTTTTCTTGTGAGAAAATGAGGCTGTGAGCTTGAGTGGAGCTACATGTACAGTTGGCAGCTGTGGAATAACAACAGAAAAAACAAGGACCTGAGTTGACCTGAGTTCTGTCCTACTTCCTAAACTTTACCGCTGTTTGTGGAATTAAACTGTGTTATCCCCATTTCTCATTAAGGACATTTGGGGAAAAATATTTATCTGATACTTAAACTTAAATATCACAACTTAAGGGGAAGTTGAGCCAGAGGAATCGAACCGATCCTGGATCGGTCGCAATTCAAAAAATAAAAAAAGTTCAGGATAACATTTTGATTATCTGATTCGGATTCTGTCGGTGCACACAGAGTACCTTTTTTTGCAAATGTATTCCAATGTAGTTTTTATACTGCACATGGCTAATAAAATGAATCTGAATCTGAACAAGCGGCTGCTGACAGGCCGTAAGCCTCTCTTCTCAGGTGGAAGCGGCGCTCATTGGTGCGCGTGCGTTACACACGAAGCCGCGCCTGTAGGCTTATCCTGCTCCCATCCTGCACCTGCGTGTCCCGCCTCCTTTTTGTATGGTTTGCTTTGGTTTTGTTGCTTTTATTATTTTAATATAGGGTGGCCAAGGCCAGAAGACCCAGGGTCAGTGGAGCCGGGACCAAAGGCATGACAGCAGATTGGGAGCTGTCTGAGTGCGTACTTTTCAGTATGAGATAAGCTGGAGGAGTTGTGCGAACAAGGACAATGGGATAAACTGTTCAATATATTTCACACACTATGGGCTGTACGCATAGGCTTGTTTCACAGAAATTTATTTTTGTCAGTGTAATGTGTGTTAACAGGGAAATATTATTGTGAGATGATAATCAACTGTTCTGTGAATGCCATAAATCTCATTGATCTTAGAAATCATATTTACTACAGCACTAGGTTTTGTAAAATCTGTACAATACCGGTTTTGTTATTGATCCAGATGAGCCCCTCTGCGCTGATCATAGATGTGTTTCCAACGGCGACCATCAGAGGCACTTGCCACTGTAAACTGAAAAGGATAGAAGAGAAACATGAATGAACCTGCAAGTATTAGTGCAGGTAGATTAGAGCAGGGTGGCTATCTGGTCGGAAAAGCCACAATCTTTAGGTGGAGTACTGTGACTACACCAGCACACAACTAAATTAACACAATTTGGATAATTGGATCAAGGTGATGATAATAATAATATATTTTGGCACAATGTGTGAACTGTACTTTACAAATAAACATATCTTGCCTTATATAACAAATATAACACAATCTTATTTTCCCCATGTTGAACTATCTGTGTTTTGTTTGTATTGTAAAAATACATCATATATTTGACACTGTCAGGAATTGGACAAATTTGAACATTATCCACAAGTGAATTTGCCATAAATATTTTTTCATAAAATATTATGCAAAAGTAAAAAACAAGAAGAAAAATGTATTGTGATTGTCTTTTTTTATTATTATCTACAAACCATGTCTTTATAGAGCAGAGCTTCCAGAACGTCACACTTTTTATTTCACATTAGAAGCACCAATAATCTCAGTGAAATCCACATTTACAGGCTGCAAGAACACGTTAATGCAAATATTAACTATTATTACAGATGCACGTTCACAACCCGGGCATGGCAGAAACACTGAAACCATGACTTCAAGGGGAAGTTTTTTATTTTTCATTAACCTTTATTAAACCAGGAAAGTCCCATTGAGATTAAGAACCTCTTTTTCAAGGGAGTCCTGGACTGAAAACAAAAGTAAGCTATGTTTCAGTCAAGAACTCTGAGAAAATAGTTCTTACTTCTCAAAACTTGAGCAATCAGCAGCACATCAGCAGAGATAATATAAAACACAGTGACAAGAGCTGCCGCTGCAAACACCCAAGAGGGAGGGGCCAGCAAACGGGAGACTTTGGAAAGTTTGAATGTGAATGATATTAAAGCTGTGTTTAAATGCTTTGAGGGAAAAGCAGGAAAGTGGCCCAGTTGGGGAAAAAAACTTCTCAGATCTGTTTAAATAAATTCAATCTGATGGACATACAGTACAGTATGTTCACTTGTTTGCTAAGTTATAAATTATCAAGACATTTTTGCCCCAAGTCTTTAGGGTCATGTTAGTGAACCAGGCCAAAGTATGAAGGTGCTTTGTGTTGTCAGGAATCCATGGAAAATGATCATATTTCACCAAAATGACAGTGAAATAGGTCGCCTCTCTCCACTGCAGCACCAGCTAACTGCACACACTGCTTGCTCCACCTCCCGCACCAGTTAATGAGCATAAATAAATTATGATTCAGTTATTAAAGATTTCGGTGACAAAGGACAGAAGTGCAACATGATATGAGATGTTAAGACTTTTTAAGTGCAGTAATCAAATCTCGATCCAAACACATGCAGACCAATTTCAAATATTCCTTTGAATCTAAAATCCTTGAAAAGCTTAGAGCAAAGCTGGCAGAAAAGAGGCAACCAGTATCTGCTGTCAGCCCTTCTGACAGTGCACAGTATTTTATGATTATGATTAAACAAATAATCACATTTTTTGTACATAAGTAAGTAACAGGCTAACAGACAAAAACAAAATTTCTTTCGAAGAGAAAACACCTGTCCTGAACATTAAATGAATAATCCAATATTTTCCTGTTCTGGCTCTGTGCAGGCCGGATCAAATACTAATCAGATATTCCGGGGGCCAAGATAATTTGTTTGCGGGGCGGACATGGCCCTCGGTTCTTGACATGTTCTATAGTATACTTTGGAATTTGTTCCCCATCCATGATAAGGAAGCAGCAACAGTATCTACATTCGAAGCAAGGATTGAAACTTCTTTACTTCGGCATATGATTAGGTAGGTAAGACAATACAATACAATACATTTTATTCATGTATAGCCCTAAATCACAACAGTAGTCATCTCAGAGGACTCAACAAAACCATTGAAATCACCAACACAGATCAGAGAACCAACAGTTAAGACACAAAAAAGAATATAGAACACATGTTGATAAATGTCCATACATGTTGTAGAAAGTTTAAGTGTCCTCAGATATGAATTAAAAATGCAATCTTAAGTCAAGTCTCCCCCGGCCCGGACTAGTGGGCTGCACCCCCTCCCCCCAGCCTGGGAGCGTCTACCGTCCTGCACTGCACAGCCTCAGTCCTGGTTCTAAAGCCTGAGACCTGGATCTATAGTCTGTCCATGGGAACGTGTCCCTCTCTCAATATGGGTTTTTTTCTTTGTTCCCTGCCAATACAAGAGGGTCTAAGGACAGTGATGATCCGGGACATTTATGGAAATCTAAACACATTTAATAACATTTATGGACACTGGTCACCCCGCTACACTATGAACAGTTGGCAAATCAATAGTATAATCACAATATGGAGGGATCTATTTAGTGATAATTTTCACTGGGTGAAAAAGTTGTGCCAAGGCTCAAAACGTTGGGGAACATCGTCACTGGAGCAGTTTTGACTGGAAAGTGTAAACTTCATTAACACATTTCAGTTGTTTTATTTCCCATTAGACCAACCATTCAGAAGGGTTTAATCAAAGGCGAGATATCTCACACAGATCTCATGGTGGGACATATTTAGTCTGAAGTTTACTTACCTAATTGTATGGAAAAGTAATGTGTGTCTTGTTTTGTTGTTTCTAGCTTTTCTTTGTTCAGCACTTCGATTTGCTTTGTGTTTGAATTGTGCTATACAAATAATTGTGCTTTGCCTTAAATATACAAAATTGGCTTTTTATGTGTAAACATCAGTGCATTTTAGATCTTGCAGTGTTTGAGTTAACTAAAAACACAATTTACGCAAAGGAATGAAAAATCAAAGACTTGAACAAGTTTGTAACATTCAAAGCATTATGTCCTTTTGGGGAAATAACGTGATCCGGACAACAGCAGGAGGATATTTCCCGTGATTCAAGGTGTGGAGTGCGTCTATATTAGATTCACATGATTATTCCAAAGAAACTATCTTCAGAAGAACATTATGTAGAGCGGCTAACAAACTATTAAAAGTAAACTCTTAAACAAAGGCCTTTGATGTGAAGAGCCGCAGAGGCCCATGACCCACTTTTGTATTTGCTTACTCTGTAATAACAAATTATATTTACAGAGTAACTTCAGAAGTAATTCAGTATTTCAAATTTACCTTGAATCATTTTCTAAAAAAACAAACAAAAACAGCAACGGCATCTTGCTTGTTGTAATTAGTGTTCAGTGGAATTCATTTTTACACCTTACTTTAAAGGAGACATTCTGATAAATCAACTTTTTTGAGCATTTAACAATCTTGCAACATTGTTCCCTAATTGTTTTTGAGATCCATGCTCGCCATTGGAATAAACAAACTATAATTACTTCCTCTTAAAGCTTTGCTTTTCATTAGCATTTTAATTTAAAGGGTTTTAATTACAGATAACAAACCAAGTATTTAGGTCGGTGATCAATTACTCTATTTGTGAAAAGAGCGGAAAATAGGCTCAAGTCAAGTGATACAACATCCAAACAAAGTAACATTTAATAATTCAACACCACTATCTGTCACCGGGGGCAACCAAGGATTGATGAGGCTGCCTGAAATCTCATAATATTCTTGTGTGATTGACAGAAACGGTCGGCCTTTTCCTCACATACAAGGTGCACCATTTACAATCACAGCTAATCAGTCATAGAAAAAACTTGAGCTCCCAAGAGTTGAGGAACAAGTTTTTTTTTTTTAGGATGGTGATGATTTTAGGTTTTAGGATGGATCAAACAGAAAGATACAGGATTACGTCTCGATAATACGACATGTTTGTCAAGATAATCCCCAACAACAAAAATAATAAGGTTCAACATTGGAAGATCAATTATTTACTGAAACTGGAGATACAGTGGTCCCTCGTTTTTCACAGGGGTTCGTTTCTAAAAATAACCTGCAATAAGATAAATCCCGGGAAGAAGCAGCTACATGTTTTAAGGTGGAAAAACCTTCACCACACACTTTACACACTTCTCTAAACCACCTGAACTCATGACTGCTAAAGTGAGATATCAAACCTGTTTGTGTAGGGTGTAGGACTGAGCGCTGCAGCAGCTGTCAAAAGCCGTGCATACACTGTAAGATACAGATACAGAGCCTGAGGGCAGGAGCAGGACTGAGGGCAAAGGGAAGACCACAGTAGCACTCTGAGCTCATCACCATAGTGCAAACAAGCCACAAATAAAATAAATTGCAATTAGAGCACAGGAAATGAAATACTAAAACAAACACATAGGAGCAAATGGTCAATAGTGCCGTGAATGTTAGTCAATGTTAGTAAATGTCCATAAATGTCCTGGATCACAATGTCCTTCAACCCTGTGATTAAACTGAAGACATAGTAATAAGGGAGACACAAGACCAAATTGAAGAGTGAATTTTAAAGTAAAACGGAAAACTATACGTTATCTTTTACAGCCTGCTGTTCGTAACATCATTACATAAATCTTTGTATTAACCTTTCTTTTGTCACCTACAGAAGAAAATGTCTCTGAAGGACTCTGATTTGTAGAAAAAGGCAACTTCTAATTAAGACACAGCAATTAATCACCACCTCCTTGTTCATTTACGGCTGATTTCTCATAATTTATCTTTGACATATAACTAGCCAACTTTCCTTTGCGAAAAAATTGCATAGATACCTTGCTTCTGAACTAATAATAATTCATGGCGCCTCTAATAGAAGCATATTAAATCAGCGTGTGTTTATCTGCTGCCTGAAGCTCCAGTCACAGAGTCTGTGACACAAATCCATTTTGATTTCTCCTCTGTGCCATTATGTCGACCTCGGTCTCCTCAGGTTTGTCCTTGTCTGTGTTCTTGTCAGTTCACTTCTTTAAAGAGCATTTGTTTCCTTTAGTATCATGCCTGTTTGATGTGAGGGGAAATTAACAAAGGAAAGATCCTGGTCTCTGTAATGTCACCTTAACATTCAACTTGACATCTACAAAAACATAGGCATTTAACAGACCTGGTATTTAAGCCTGGGACCAAATACCTTGTTGGGAAATTGTTTGGATCTGAGTCAGCTTTTCAGCACAAGGAAGACAGGAACATCAAAATAAAACTTCTGAAGTCATATTAAAGCACACCCAGGATGAGAGGGAATCAAATGATAATGGACTACATCAAGTTCATCATCCATGTGGAGCAATACCTTCCATGTTTTTTTAAATGAGCTTTAACAAACTTTATAAAGAAAAGAGCAGCAAGTGCAAGAGCTTGTCACGCTGTCATTGTTCCATACTTTTATTACCTTCTACATCTGACCCACATGTATGCAAAATTGTTTGTTTTTGCTGTCTACATTTTTGCTTTGGTTGGTCTGGATGTTCACACTGAGCATGCTCCGATAAACAGTGTAAGACAGAAGGTGGGTCAAATGCCCAGTCGATGTGAAATGCCTCATGTTTTTTGTAAATACAGAAAAAACACTTGTACAGCCCGACCTTAAAATGTTCCACGATTCTGGTCTGGTTCTCTCTCCCTGGACTTATGAACACCATTTTTTTGTGGGTTTACCTCCACAAATAGAGAATGTTGTCCCATTTGTTTTTACAAATGCTGCAGAGTCCTTGATCTATACAACACACTGGTTATTGTTTGGTTGTAAGTATATTTTTCAGTCTGCTACTAAAAGCTGAAGCACTATCTTCCCAAACAACCCGGACAAAAGACCAATCCTCCACATTCTGTATACCTCTCAGTGGTGCCACTTGCCCCTGGATTGTGTTAGTACTACTCTTAAAAGCACTCAGTTCTCAAGGCTCATTTAATCTTTAATGTATACGTATTGTTAGATAGAGCCTATTTTATGTCGTCTTATACCTGCCTGCCTACGCTATCATTTCCTAACCCCGTCTCCAGTGAGCTCTGATTGTAGTGTCCCAACATGTGTCCAGTAGATAAGAGAAAGTCTAAATCTAGTGAACAGCATGCAGCACTGCGGGGCCACTGTGAATACATCTCGATTCACAAGTCCCCTCTGATTTTCTTCACCACCACCACAACTACTGAGATGAATATGCAGCTGAAAATCCCAACAGTGTATTTTTGTTATTAAGAGCTCCCCGAGTGTGAGTGAAGACCCGCAAAACACAAGACAAAGAGAGTGCACAACAATTAACTCATTTCATCAAATTTCAAATAAAAGGACCGTCGGAGCAGCAAGATGGATGTTGACACACACACACACACACACACAAAACACCAACTACCAAATCAAAGAAAAAATCGATAGAGAAGAGATTAGAAGAACAAACATTAAAAACAGCGATGTCACAAATGATACCGTGAAAAGAGGCTCCTGAACTCTTGATGTGGTTTGTTAAAAAAACATCAAGAAATAAACGTGAGGCTGTGAAAGACGTGAATAAAACATCTCGAGAATCAATTATAAACGAAATATAAATCATGTAAAGATGGTGAGGAAAGGGAAGAAAAGATTTTTTTTCAGCCCAGATTACGATCAGCAGAACAAACCCTATGCTAAGTGAGGCACGATACCAAGAAGAGGCATATTATTATATTCCTCCCAGAAAATGGATAATGGACAGAGGAGAGCAGAAAAATAGTGATGCGCAGGTTGAGCCAGTGGGGCTGGTCAGACAGCTCAATCAAAGGAAACATTAGGAGTGTTTCTGCTCAAAGCCTCCCTCATCTTTTACATTATGTGTCATAAAAGTAATGACATTGTTCAATCAATGACTCTCAGTCAACGCACTGTTTGTTTTAGCCCCCAAAAGCAGCTAATAAAGTGTCCCAGACTGTGCTTTTCAGTTCCAGACTCTAATTCAGTATGACAGTATAACGATTGCTGGTTGGTCTGGAATAAAGCAGTGATAACTCCTACACATAAAAATGGCTCACTGCACCATTTCTGACAGAGGTGTGATAAGACGGAGAACGAATTACACAGTGATGTAAAGATTTGATGGGATTTTTGTCCATATGACCTCTTTCAGAAATGTAAACATCGGTCTGCAGTTGTCAAATCTGAATGAATAAGCAAAATAGGATCTTCAGTGTCCAAACAAATATCCTTTTTGCTCGGTTTGATGTATCAATACTGATAATATGTAATATTTTTTATTGGTAATCCCCAATGCCCCCAATTTCAGCTTTTGTTCTGCACCTTTGCTATGACCCCTATTTATGAGTAAAAGTGATCTGGAATACATATATTTGTTTTATTAAATCCCAATTTAAAATTTAGTTAATATTTAATGATCCAAAATTCTCCTCTGATGAAATCCATGTTATGAATATAAAACTAATCTTAGAGAAATACTACATTCATAGTAATAAATTCAATTCAATTCCATTTTAAATGAATTTGCAGGTTTTAAAGAAAGACATCTTTCTCTATTTGGCTTCTCTAGAATAAAAAAAAAGAATAAAAAAAATTAGAATGATCACAATGAAATGTATGTATGTATATGAATGTATGTATATATTTTTCCTTTCTATTTTCTTTTTTGTGCAGTTATTACACTATTGTTGAGGAACGTGCTTTGAATGAAAGAAAAAAACTAAAAAAATCAAAGCTACTGGACAAACTGTTAAAAGCTGTTTGCTGAACAATGCAGTTGGATGCTAATGTTGTGTTCTATCTTTCATGTGGCTAAACCGAAGGGGCGGCACACCTGTTGTTGTTCCTGTGATCCTGCCCGTACAAGAAGTGCTCCTGGCTCACTGCAATGTAGTGAGTCGGGAGCTGGTCTGATCGATTCTTGCTGATGGTTATGACGGGATATCCCATTTGTAGAGTCCATCTGTCCATCATCTCTCCAATGTCGATGTCTCGCCCCTCGGATCGCATCGCCTGATTGAAAAACACAGCATGGCACACTTTTAATCTATAAGGCTGACATGTTTGACCCTGGCTGGGAAAAACTTAACAAGAAGTAACGGACTGCACGTGATTGAAGCTGTGATTGGTTGGCGGATACTAAGCGAAGTGGGACTCATTATTGTAGAAGTCCAACCCTTGTGTAATCAGCATGGCAACAGGGACGACCGTAATTAGTCAAGTGCTTTTGTGTGTGACAAACAACACGGTGACTCTCATCTCGACATGTCAGTCACAAACATGGGCCCTCTTAATCTCCCTCTCATTATGTGTCCCTCGTTAGAGACACTTGCACTGTCAATAACTTTGGCAGGCGTCTTTGGAGCCTGTGTCCTGGTGGTGCGTGGGCAGGTACAAGTTTGACTCTAATGAGCAAGGCACTGTCCTCACGATACAAAAGAGAGGTGTTGTGTGCTTTCACATGATTGTTACCTGGGACAGCTTGTTCCACAGGTCGTCCCGGGCCGCGTTGCCGTACATATGACTCAGAAGGTAATCCTAAAGAAAGACAGGGAGGAAAATAAATGTTATAGAAATAGCTCAGTGTCGGACACATGTGCATCTTGGGGAGGTGATTGTTAGCCTTCACAACATTAGGATTTGTTCACTCCACAGGAGAATGGCAACTTTACTGCTTTGACCAATCTATAGACTGTATATGGATAATGCTAACAATGCTAACCCGCTAGCTCAGCCATTCCCAAACTCAGTAACACCGAGGCCCCCTTAAAAATCTGACGGGTCTGCGTGGCCCCCCAAAATAATAACCAAGAAGACAACATTAAGAATAGGCTCTTCTGGTTATTTTATTTTGGGGAAATAGCCTCTGCTACAAACATTGTAATACAAAAATGATTACAGTGGATTATTCAAGTCAAATAATGAACACAAATATTTTAATATTACAAACAAAACATTATAAATTTAACATTAAATAATTATATTATTTTTTTATTTTTTTTATGACCTCCCGCGGCCCCCCTGCAGTACCCTCGCGGCCCACCAGGGGGCCGCGGACCCCACTTTGGGAGACACTGCGCTAGCTCATTGAAGCCCAATAGGGAAGTGCAAGGGGACAAGTTTTGCCCGATTTCGATCTGGCTCCTATTGACTTACATTGAAAAGTAAACTTTTTTTCCATCCATCCATCCATCCATTTTCTTCCCCTTAATCCATTTTTGGGTCAGGGGGTGGCAGTCAGAGCTGCACCCAGTCACAGAGCACCAGCCCCTCACTGGTCCTCCTGCAGGTGGTGAGTCCACAGGAGCTGAGTTCTTTCAGTGGGGGCTTCAGGCAAAGTGGGGTTAAGTGTCTTGCCCAAGGACACAACGACGGCAGTCATCAGTGGGAGTCGTGAAGTAAGTCTTGAGGTGGGCTCGAACCCACGACCTTCAGGCTCAAAGGCCAATGCTCTACCAACTGAGCTACTGTCGGTCTTTCTGGTCATAGTAAGTTATAGTAATAGGGTTAGGCTTCTATAAGTGTTTCCCTTCAGCTTAAACCTTTTCAATCATAACTTTTATTTTTTTGAAATGATCTGTATTGTTTGAGTTAAGTGACAACAAATAAACCACTACTACTACTAATAAACTCCTCTAGAATGTGGTTTAACACTGTCTATGATCCTAGTATTTGATCTTGATATTGTCTTCATATTGTAGTGATCATATTGTCAGTCACACATGTTTTGCAGTCTCGATGTGTAAAATATTTTAGTATCAACGTCAAACTATGAGGCTTTGTTTAAAATGCTTGCGTTTCCCTTTTGTGAAGAAAGTGTGCAGTTGAAAATCAGCAACAATAGGGAAGATTCACCAGATGCTACAGTTATATATATATGACCAAAACCGCAGCTGTTTTCTTGATGTGCAGGACCATTTCTGAGGCCACACAAAACTAAAAATCCGACAAAAGCCCATTTAAAAACACTAGAATGGTGGGACTGCAATATGTTTGTCTCGTAAAATAGGCAATCACTCAGAGTGGCAACTAGTCATTTGTCCTACAAGTACAACCTCATCTGTTTTCTAGAGGCCAAACTCATTTCCTCAGAGGAGGATTGGGATATGTTGAAGGACTTTAAGAAGTTGCTGAGGCCAATGAAAAAAAACAAACAACTAAGCAAGTACAAAAATGAAGGTGTGAAAATTTTGTTTTTGAAAACCTGTGGCTTGTCGTTATACATCCCACTATAAGCTACTTGTGAAAGTCAAAGTCATTCCTCACATTTTATACCAGATGCTAAGGTTGTAAATAAAGCACATTATTGTAAAGGAGATATCAAGAAAAAACATTTTTGTCGTTGAACTGTAGTTTATAGAGCCGAGGACTTATGTGCTGCAAAATCATTGTGCCATTTGAGAGAATAGTTTTCAGTGGGAGCTCAAACATGACTTCACACTTGGTTATGGTGTGACTTTTATCTTCAGGCAGATTGTACAATATTGTCTACATGGGGTATTTTTGTAATAGCTTAAACTATGATCATCATTTTTTATCTAGACTAAGTCCATGAAATAAAAAAAACAAAGGTAAACACAGACACGAAACACCAAGACAAGACCAAGAAAATACAGACACGTTTCTAGAATACCAGTGTATATAACCTACAGTTTTAGGAAATGCCCATGTGATTTTATCAAATTATTCATTGCTGTGAATGCTTACTGTTCACAGCAGAAGTGCATTGTGGGTGAGAGCTGCTGGTTCAGCAGTGAGTGTTTAAATAGTTCCAGCGTGTTCAGGTCAGTGACAGTCTATGCATGAGAATCAGGGAATATAATGTGTGGGCGGCTGGGCGTGGGAAATGTTCATCATTACATTTACATATAAAATCAATATTAAGTGCACATCACTTTCAGTTAGAAGAATATCAACTTGAACTCGAGTGACAGGCTACAGCAAAAGCATGTTTAAAAAGATGTTGTGTCGAGTGCAAACCTTTAACACCTCACGTAAGCTCATAAAACTTGGGGAGTTTTTTGGCAGAAACTGTTTGAGCTGAACCTCCACAGGCCTGACCATGTTCAGATAAGGAAACCTGTCACACTAAACAACTTGAGGTTGGCAACTTACATTGAGTCCTTTCTGGAACAGGGGCTGACCCATCACATTCGCCAACATCCGGATTAGGGCAGCCCCCTGCAAACACAGCTCACGTTTAAACAACCGCCGCTATTTCATACAATCATAACTGACAATACACACTGGACTTCTGTAGTATTTTTATTTACCTTAGAGCATTTACCTTTTTGTATGCGATCCAGTCAAAAACTCGGTCAATGTCTGTGGCCTGTTGGACCTCCTGAGAGATGGGATGGGAGGAGCTTAAGCCGTCCAATAGCATCACTTCATGGAGAACATCTGTCAAGAAGCGCTGATTCTCCTAAAAAAGTAAACATATACATATATACAGATTTTCTTTATTGTTCATTGTTGACACAATATCCATAATCTGCATTAATATTAAGTTAAGTACGACTTGAGACAACCTGCAGATGCACATTTATTTAGAATTTTTCAACACTATGCTGGTTTGATTAAAAATGATTGTTCAACAGAGTATTTCTTTCTGACTGCGTCAAAGAGCATTTTCATTTGGACTTTATTCCTTCACACCATTTTACCAGTTATCCTGCAAAGATGTTGGAATTCATCATCAAACTCTGAATTACCAGGAGACGAGAGCTCTGTCAATGTGCAGTTCCATCTGGTTCCATCTGATTCATGGATTACAGAGTTTACTGAGGACATTTCTTTTTAATGATGCTCCATCGTGTTAAGTCATATATATCAGCCTATTAAGTTCCAGACATTAATGAACAGCATTTATAGCGACTTCCTTTGAAATATACACTATCCGAAGGGATCGGGCTAATTGAAAGCTCAATGGATTTTTGTGTGTAGTTTTAATGGCTCATCTTAACGATGTGTTTTTAGAACATGCTTCAAAGGGTTATATAAAGAGGATGAAAATAAATGCAAAATTTAACAAAAGCAAGCAATCATAACGAGTCCTCTCAGTAGATGCACTGACATTTCTAGTAACGATTACAATTGAAATTGATCATAACAGAAACCTATCTGAAGAGTGCAGAGCCACACGTAAAAAGAGTCTGGACAGTACGATGAATGATGCCATTAGTAAACGAGTCGAGTGGCTCTGTGGATACGACGACAGCAAGGGGAGCAGCCAGTCTAAATGAGACATCCCCTTTAATTAGCCCACCCCCTAATTCACCTGAAGTTCACCCAGACATATGGAGCTGTGAACCAGATGGACTCGTGTGGACGAGCAGCTGACAAACCCACAACACACACAAATTGGCACACATGCTGAAGGACAACAGCTACAAAAACCAAGTGTAAGCCCATTAACAGTTTGGGTATTCTTGGGTTTTATGATGTTCACAATTTCAACATTCAAAAAGTGAGATAACCGGTTAACCTGAGGGGCAATTAAAATATAAAGAGTGACTGAGACAGACACTCATGTGTGTCTGTTAAAGGCTCTCTGTACAACTGTCTGTGCTACAGTGTGTATCATGTGTGCACAGAGCCTTGTAGTCCAGAGTCCAAAGCAGTGGGTGCTGCACGTTCACTCACCTCACACTCTAATCACAATTGTGGGCCAGATCTGGAGCAAATAATGTTATATAGTCATGTTAAATGACAACTGTTTGAAGCCATAGGCGGCGGCCGCACCCAATCAGCAGCAGGAAGAGACTGACGCATTTCGCCAATGCGCAGAGTGACCTGATAGATGAATGCAATGTTTTTACTCTGCTTCATCAGTAGGTTTACTGAGAGAAGGTCCACTTTTGAAAAAATATGAAAGTTCTTACAGTGCCTTGCGAAAGTATTCGCCCCCCTTGAACTTTTCAACATTTCGCCACATTTCAGTCTTCAAACATAAAGATATAAAAATTTATTTTTTTGTCATGAATCAACAACAAGTGGGACACAATCGTGAAGTGGAATGAAATTTATTGGATAATTTAACCTTTTTTAACAAATAAAAAACTGAAAAGTGTGGCGTGCTATATTATTCGGCCCCTTTACTTTCAGTGCAGCAAACTCACTCCAGAAGTTCAGTGAGGATCTTTGAATGATCCAATGTTGTCCTAAATGACTGATGATGATAAATAGAATGCACCTGTGTGTAATCAAGTCTCCGTATAAATGCACCTGCTCTTTGATAGTCTCAGGGTTCTGTTTAAAGCACAGAGAGAACCATGAAGACAAAGAAACACACCAGGCACGTCCGAGATACTGTTGTGGAGAAGTTTAAAGCCGGATTTGGATACAAAAAGATTTCCCAAGCTTTAAACATCTCAAGGAGCACTGTGCAAGCAATTATATTGAAATGGAAGGAGTATCAGACCACTGCAAATCTACCAAGACCCGGCCGTCCCTCCAAACTTTCATCTCAAACAAGGAGAAGACTGATCAGAGATGCAGCCAAGAGGCCCATGATCACTCTGGATGAACTGCAGATAACTACAGCTGAGGTGGGAGAGTCTGTCCATAGGACAACAATCAGTCGTGCACTGCACAAATCTGGCCTTTATGGAAGAGTGGCTATTTCTCAAAGATATCCAATAAAAGTGTCTTAAAGTTTGCCACAAGCCACCTGGGAGACACACCAAACATGTGGAAGAAGGTGCTCTGGTCAGATGAAACCAAAATCAAACTTTTTGGCCACAATGCAAAACGATATGTTTGGCGTAAAAGCAACACAGCTCATCACCCTGAACACACCATCCCCACCTCAGCTGTAGTTATCTGCAGTTCATCCAGAGCGATCATGGGCCTCTTGGCTGCATCTCTGATCAGTCTTCTCCTTGTTTGAGATGAAAGTTTGGAGGGACGGCCGGGTCTTGGTAGATTTGCAGTGGTCTGATACTCCAAATCCGGCTTTAAACTTCTCCACAACAGTATCTCGGACCTGCCTGGTGTGTTCCTTTGTCTTATAATAATAATACATTTTATTTAAAAGCGCCTTTCAAAACACCCAAGGACACTGTACAGGCATAATAAAAACATTTAAAAACAGGATAAACAGAATAAAACAGTAGTCAGGTGCAATATGGGATGGTGTGTGTGTGTGTGTGAGTTAGGAGGGTGTGTGTGTGCGTATGTGTTAGGTGTGTGTGTGTGTGTGTGTGTGCGCGCGTGTGTGTTAGGTGGGGTAGGACAGTCTGAACAGATGGGTTTTGAGTCGGGATTTGAAGAGTGGAAGAGAGTCAATGGTACGGAGGTCAGGGGGGAGAGAGTTCCAGAGCTGGGGGGCAGAGTGGCTGAAGGCTCTGTGTCCCACAGTGATGAGTCTGGCTGGGGGGACGGAGAGTGTGAGGTTGGAGGAGGAGCGGAGTGTGCGGGCAGGAATGTGAGGGTGGAGGAGGTCAGATAAGTACGGAGGGGCCAGGTTGTGAAGTGCTTTGAAGGTGGTGAGGAGTATTTTGAAATTGATGCGCTGTTTGACAGGAAGCCAGTGGAGTTGTTGTAGTACGGGGGTGATGTGGTGAGCTGTGGGGGTCCGGGTGATGATACGAGCTGCAGAGTTTTGGAGGAGCTGCAGTTTCTGGAGGGATTTGTTGGGGAGGCCGAAGAGAAGTGAGTTGCAGTAGTCAATCCTTGAGGTGACGAGGCTGTGGACGAGGATGGCGGTGGTGTGGGGGGTGAGGGAGGGGCGGAGACGAGAGATATTGCGCAGGTGGAAGTAGGCAGACCGAGTGATGTTATTGATGTGGGATTGGAAGGAGAGTGAACTGTCGAGGATGACACCCAGACTCTTGACTTGAGGGGAGGGGAGGACAGATGTGTTATGGATGGAGATTGAGAAGCTGGTAGATTTGGAGAGAGTGGAGGGGGTGCCTATGAGAAGGACTTCAGTTTTTGAGCTATTGAGTTTGAGAAAGTTGGAAGAGAACCAGGAATGAATTTCTTGTAGACAGAGGGTGAGGGAGGATGGAGGGAGAGAGGAAGATGGTTTAGCGGAGAGGTAGAGCTGGGTGTCATCCGCGTAGCAGTGGAAGTGAATGTTGTGGCGGCGGAGGATGTGACCGAGTGGGAGAATATAGATGATGAAGAGGAGGGGCCCCAGGACAGAGCCCTGGGGCACACCAGCAGAGACAGGAAAAGTGCGGGATTTGTGGGATTTGAGATGAATGAACTGTGAGCGACCAGAAAGATAGGAGGTGAACCAGGCGAGGGGGGTGTGGGTGATGCCGATGGAGGAGAGTCTGTTCAGGAGGGTGGAGTGAGAAATGGTGTCAAAAGCTGCAGTGAGGTCCAGAAGGATGAGGATGGAGAGTAAACCGGAGTCAGAGGCTATGAGGAGATCGTTAGTGATTTTTAGAAGAGCTGTTTCGGTGCTGTGGAGGGGACGGAAACCAGACTGAAATTGTTCGTAGATGTTGTTGGTGGTGAGGTGGTTGTGGAGTTGAGCAGCGACAGATTTTTCAAGTATTTTGGAGATGAAGGGAAGGTTTGAGATGGGACGGAGGTTGTTGAAGTTGGTTGGATCCAGGCCAGGTTTTTTGAGAATGGGTGAGACTGAGGCGGTTTTGAATGAGAGAGGGACAGTACCAGAAGTGAGAGATGAATGAATGATATTAGTGATGAGGGGGGCAGCTGAGGGGAGGCAGGATTTGACCAGAACGGTAGGGAGAGGGTCGAGCTGAGAGGTAGAAGGTTTGGATTTAATGATAAAGTCTTCATGGTTCTCTCTGCGCTTTAAACAGAACCCTGAGACTATCAAAGAGCAGGTGCATTTATACGGAGACTTGATTACACACAGTTGCATTCTATTTATCATCATCAGTCATTTAGGACAACATTGGATCATCCAAAGATCCTCACTGAACTTCTGGAGTGATTTTGCTGCACTGAAAGTAGTAGTAGTAATCTTTAGTAATCTTTATTTATATACCGAGTCTCAAAGCGGTTTACAATTGTTATTTTTGGGAGTGGTGGTGCCAGTACAGGAGGCGCATGCCAGACCTATTGTACATATTTTTAGTGGTAGGGGAAACCGGAGCACCCGGAGGAAACCTACGCAGACACGGGGAGAACATGCAAACTCCACTCAGAAAGGCCCTGGTCCAACCGGGATTCGAACCCAGGACCTTCTTGCTGAGAGGCGAGAGTGCTATCCACTCAGCCACCGTGCCGCCGAATAATATTGCACGCCCCACTTTTCAGTTTTTTATTTGTTAAAAAAGTTTAAATTATCCAACAAATTTCATTCCACTTCACGATTGTGTCCCACTTGTTTTTGATTCATGACAAAAAATTAAAATGTTATATCTTTATGTTTGAAGCCTGAAATATGGCAAAATGTTGAAAGGTTCAAGGGGGCCGAATACTTTCGCAAGGCACTGT